TTAAAGTGCTGCCTGGTGAAAGGTTAGTTGATCTAGATTATGCGGACGATATCGTCTTGCTTTTCGACGATGTTGCGGCGGCACAATCAACTCTGAATAGCCTGTCCAGAATGGTCCCATTATTTGGTATGCACTTCACACCTTCGAAGTGCAAAGTGTTGCTGCAGGACTACCAGCCACTTGATAAACCCTTGACGCTTGCTAACGAGGAACTCGAGGTGGTTGATCAATTCACTTATCTTGGCAGCTGCATCAGCAATGATGGGCGCATAGAAACTGACGTCAGCTCACGCATTGCAAAAGCCAGAGCTACCTTCTTGAACCTGCGGCATCTTTGGCGACAGAAGGGAGTTTCCCTTCGTCTGAAAGGCCGGGTATACAAGGCATAGTGAGGACAGCCCTGCTCTAGGGGAGAGAGACTTGGCCCCTTCGGTCAGAAGATCTGAGGCGCTTTCAAGTCTTTGATCAGCGTTGTCTGCGAAGCATTGCTGGAATCGGATGGCCCCAGTGTGTCCGCAACGATGATGTGCGCAGGCGAGTACTAGGTAGTGATAATCATGCTAGCACCCTAGAACAACAAATAGCACTGAATAAGTTGCGTTGGCTCGGGCACGTGCTACGCATGCCTGGTCACCGCTTACCTAGGAGGGCCTTGTTTAGTCTGCCAGGTGTAGGGTGGCGCAAGGCTCGAGGTGGACAGAAGTTGACTTGGCAGTGGGAAATGAAGTCACTGACGACCAAACTGGGTGCCGCTGGTCTGTCTCGCCTTCCGGGCTAGAGTCCACGTGACCCGCCTTGTGCTTGGCTCGAGACTACAGGACATGGCTCGCAGTAGACATCAGTGGCGCGTCTGTTGTCGTCTCCTCATCGGGTTGCCTGTTTAAAGTATGTTTAGTGCTGAGTTATCTGCGGGGTAATGGCTGATTATGACGCGTTGCAGTGAAAGCCGCAAGGCAGCTGTTTCGCCGATGCCGCCTTATGTTCGCATGATTGCCAGCTGTTTGGGACGGTAGGCTGTCTACACAAGGTGTAGGCGCCTTGACCATGAATGTTTGTTTAGGGTATTAAGGTTTTCAGGTAAGTCCCCCTTCGCTCCCTCTTCTTATTCTTTATTTCATAGATCCTCATGGTTGCATGGCAGCGAAGCATCAGTTCAAATGGCTGATGTACTGCTGTTGATGATGATGAAAGCCCTGAAAGTTGACAAACTGGTGTTGCTGGCATCACAGAAACTACCACGGGGATGTTGGCCACTGGGTCGAGTAGAGAGCTGTGAAACAAGCGAAGATGACTTAGAATAACAGTTTCCGTAAGGAGACGTTCAGGTGTATTGCAAAGAGGCATAAGAAGGGTATGCTGCCAGGAGGGCGTCGGATGAGGGTACTTAAGTCTAGTCTGAAGTGCAAGGCGGTAGTCATGGAAAACGGCCACTCATCTAAGCACTGATGATGTCACCTCGATCGGTGACGAAAGGTTTGCAACAAAAGTGCCAAGCTCGGCGAAAAGTTCAACAGCCATTTGAACAACCTGAGCTACCAGTCTACAATTCTATAGCATTGATGATGTCACCACGAATGGTGGCGAAACGTTTGCAACAAAATTGCCAAGCTAGGCGAACAGTTCAACAGCCATCAAAACGGCTTTCGCTCAAGCATTTAAACTTTGGTAGACGCCTACAGGATATGCTTGGTGGAAGTCATGGAAAAGGGGTTTCACCAAGACGCTTCCGTGAGGTCTGTACCGCTCCCTGTTTATTGATATCTGTGAGCGTTGTAGCTAAATTAGTGGAGGCAAGAGCCAGAGTGGTGCAGTTGATCCTCGAAATGCTAGTCGCAGGAGAATTTCGGAGGCCGGTGTAGTGGAATTTGGATTCACACCAAAAATTCTCCTAACCCACACTCGGCATTCACTCTGCGGCTACCCATATCATCCATAATTGTTTACCTGTCTGTATTTGTTCACCATCTGTGAAACACTGACCCACAAGAACAATTCCCATTTTGTGGCCACCGATGCGTTCTCTCCCCTTCACTGTGCGGGTGCATATATGTACGCTTGTTTATCGTGTCCCTGTGCTATTGCTCCGGACTCTGTCCATTGAGTGACCTTGACCATGACGTGCACCAAGAACTCCTGCTCAACAATGAGATCAATTCTTCCACCACACATTGGCGTATGTTATCTAAAATCAGGAACCAGTACGTGCCCTGTGATCCACCAACATTTGCACGTGCCCACTTGCACTTTTGTCGGCTCGAAGCGTGATAATTCCCTGTAATTGATCCGTTTGGACGCTACCCCAGCGCTTTGTTGTCGACCTGAATGCGAACAATTGAGGTTTGTTTGTGTGTTTGATTAATACGTTGTAAATAGCACCGTAGATCTAGGATCAATTCTTTGTTCTTGATCAATTTGGATCGTATTGTACGCGTTATCTCAACGACAGGGTTTGGTCGTTACAGAAGCTGCCATGCTGACGCCTCCTTATCTTTGCACGATAGCCAGCTGTTTGTGACGGTTTGTTGTTAACACAAGGTGTAGGCGCCTTGACCCTGAATGTTTGCTTAGGGTATTAAGGTTTTTTAGGTAAATCCCCTTTATCTCCCAGTTATTATTCTCTATTCCATAGGTCATCATGGCTGTATGGCAGCGAAGCATCAGTTCAAATGGCTGATGTACTGCTGTTGTTGCATTAGAAAACAGGCCCCTTCGTCCTGCAAGAGTTAGATCATTTATTTGAAACAGGACGCGAAAACACATGGCGCAAAGGGCCATAGTGTGGCGTGTGTACAGAGAAAGCACTAGTCTTGACAATTGAAACAATGTATGTAATCTCAACAGTCTAGTAACTAGACATAGAGCCAACAACAACAACAACCATGCAGTGTATCGTAATCACTGTACCACAGTTGTCCGTGAGGAGAAAGTAGTAAACTAGCAGCACTTAGCTGTAAGGTTTTGTGCTAACAAGCTTCTGTACAAACATGTGAACAGCCTAAAGAATGTGAAGCGTGGTATTCGCCAAAGTAACTCAGCAAATGGATGTGCCCAAACCGCTGATGTAGCCGACATTCTAGGGCTACAATAGGTTCCAATAGGCCGACGCGCCACAATCATGTGTCATATACCAGTTGCATTCCTCCAAATGCTAGTAAGTACACATTTCACTTAGTTGAGCGACCGTTTTGAGGAAGCTGCTATCGTTGCGCTCCTATAGTTCCCTCGGTGTTGGCAACGTTCCCCCGGAAGCACTGCAGGTGGCAGCTGCGATGATAGTTGAGACTAATCCAGTTTTCCAAGGATGCCTGGATGAACAGCAGTTTGCTAGCGCGTGAAAGCAGAGTATGATTACCACAATTTTCAAAATTGGTAGCCATTCGGAGCCCGTCAACCAACACTCAGCGATTCTCCTCCCAGTACTGTCAAAGGTGATGGAGTCGATCATAGCTGACGCATTAATGGGTAATTTAAAAAGATCTAACAGCATAGCGCAGCAGCATCGGTCACGTACTACCGGTCCACTGATTCCGCGTGTCAGTTGGGAAGAAACAGCTGATAATGGGACCGGAACCGATATCATCTATATCGAATTCTCTAAAGCCTTCGACCGCTTAGATCACCACATCCTCCTTCAAAAGCTGCAAGCGTGTGGCATCGGGAACCCTGTCCATGGACGGACCGGAAATTTTCTTCCGCAGAGCAGCTTCACGTTTGGGACTCATTTTCTGGTTCCGTGGATGTGGACTGCGGTGTTCTAAAAGAGTCGATGTTGGGGCCGCGCTTATTCTTGGTCTCCAACGACCTTTTGCGTGTCCTCGAGTCGAATTTCATGCTTTTGATGATGATATCAAGACATGGCGGACGATCGGTAGTCAGTAAGATCACAATCTGCTACGATTTTGAATGGCCAGAGGCAAATCTATTTCTGTTTAACGCGGGCAAGTGCTAAGCTGTACGTGTATGCCACAAGCCCACTAACGCATATAAACTTGGAAACTACCGCACATGAGCGTAATCTTGGGGTGGCGATGCAAGACGATCTCGGCTGTTCGGCGCAGTCCTTGAAGATTTCAAAAATCGCGGACCAAGATTTTGATCCCTTACAGAGGGCGCTGTGGCGGTTCGACCCCTCCATTTTCCCGCAAATGTAGAGTACACGATTTAGACCTGGTAACTCTGGCTAAAACGTGATCTGGTCGCGCTGGAGACTCCATAGCGAAAGCAACTAAGAAACGTGAAGTTTGTTTCACCTGCCATAGCAACTGCGAAGGAGAGCCCTTGGAGTGTACAGCGGAAGTTACCGCTGACTAAGGGGCGACCTCATTCTGGCGTACCAGACCTCGAAAATCTCTAGTCACGGCTGTCGCCACCTCATGACACTTGGCAGAAACATAAATTTGAGGGGTCATAAGCTGAAACTCGCCGCCTAATACAGTCGACTGAAATGCTACCATAATTATTTTTCTCTTCGAATTTGTTGGCCGTGAAAGGCTACTTCGATTTGTGTCATTTCTGCGCGCACGCTTTCCATTTTAAGAAAACGACATGACGATGCAGCTGCATTGCTTGATTTGTATTCTGTTCATCGAGTGAAGACAGGACAGACAATGTGCTCACTAACACCCATGTAAGCGTGATGGACAAAATTACATGTGTTAACGTAGGTAAGTCCACATATGCGTAACTGGAGTCAACGGATTCGGTAATGTAGTCCAGGTAGAACAACTGACAAGCAGTGCAGGAACGTTCACCAATGAATCCAGGCTGAAAGCTATTAGGAAGTCCGAGAGGCTATATAAATCTCAATATGCCACTTTTAATTTATCTTTCGAGCAGTGTGGTAATTTTAGGAGCGGCGGATAAGCGGTAATTAGCGATACTCTACCTGGACCCAAGTTTTTTATAAGGGACAATAAACGATACTTTCCACTGATAAGGAAAATGGACAGCTTTACTCACAAGGGGATTCGGTTTGGCAAAATCAGGTCCCATGAACTTACTGGCGAATGTGAGGAAGCCATCAGAATCAAGCTTAGGCGATGATTTGATGGACTTCATGGTTTGTTGTGTCCAAACAAGAAATCTCGACATCGCACATGATGCGGGAAGACATGAGGCCAGTTTCTAGGTTCAAAAAAGCAGAGAAAATAGAACAAAACGCTCCACAAATAAAGGGTGAGCGGTAGAGGTAACGACCCTTCTCATTGATTAGTCCACGAATGAAGATGCACCACTCTAGTTTTAAGACGGGGTAATCATGTGAGTTCCTTCCCACTGCACAACATCATTAGGGCATTCTAATCTATTGTAATCCGCGTTACTTGTGAACGCTTGATACAGACGATGGATTCTTGCTATTGTGAATATTCATGAAAAATCTAGTCTCTTCTTGTGTGGATTTGATGTATTTTATGTGACGGAGGGCATGCGGACTGGTTGCGTATGCACAGTCGGCCGACTGTATCTCGGAAAATGTCGTTGTTCTGGGTAGACATTGATGCTGAAAGCCAGAAGTATAACAATCAACGTGCACATATTCGGCGTGAGGTGTGTAAGAGATTCAAATGGATAGCGGAATCAGATGAGATGGAATAACGAAAGTGCGTGCTTTTCCCGTCGGCCGACACTCGCAATGTCACCTCATCTGAGAATGGTGTAGATAGAAGTTGTTATCGATCAAATAACTCCGACTTTCAGATGGGACAACGCAGTGGATTTCGGACTCGCGGTACTTAGACCTGGCATAAACACAATGATCAGACCACATAGTTGGACTGTGTTCGGCATCGCCGAGGAATATACCATTCATTTATTTATTTATACACCGACGGACCGAGGGAATTTAACGATGTTATAGTGCAGACGATATGTGGACCGGTACATTCCGTTGGTGCGGACAGCGGTTGGGGACCATCAACAACATTCATCACCATCATCATCATCAGCAGCAGCAGCAGTACATCAGCCATTTGAACAGATGCTTCACTGTCATAAAAACATGGTGACCTATGGAACGAAGAACAATAGGAGGGAGAAAATGGGACTTAGGATAAAGCCTCAATGCCCTAAACAAACATTCAGGGCCAAAGCGTAAACATACTCAAAAACATAGTCACAAACAGCTGGCTATCATGCAAAGATAAGGCGGCATCAGTGAGAAAGTTTCCTTACGGTTTTCACTGCCACGCGTCATAATCAGCCATTACCCCGCAGATAACTCAGCATCAAACACACTTTAAAAGGAGATGAGAGAAGACGCCACTGGTGCCGACTGCGAGCTACGTCCTGTAAAGTCTCGAACCAAGCACAAGGTGGGCCACGTGGAATCCAGCCCAGAAGGTGGGACGGACCAACGGCACCCAGTTTGGTCGTCAGTGGCTTCATTTCCCGCTGCCAAGTCAACTTTTGTCCACCTCGCGCCACCCCACGTCTGGCAAACAAAACAAGGACCTACTGGGTATGTGATGACTAGGAGACGTAGTACGTTTCCAAGCCAACGCAATTTAGTCAGCGCTATCTGTTTTCCTATAGATGTCGGCCTGTGGCCGAGTGGTCCGCACGCCTGGCCTGCAATCATAAGGCCAGCGGTTCGAATCCGCGTAGGGGCGGGAGTCTCCGCGTTATAATCAGCCATCGCGAGGTAACGAGGTGCAGTTACTGTGTACAGCTGACGAGTTTTAATTATTGCTGTAAGGAACTAGTATGACAATTACTTTCTAGCACTCGCTTACGCACATCCTCGTTCCGGTGTCGGGTGGCACCAGCAATGCTCCGCAGGCAGAGATGATCAAAGACTTGAAGGCGCCGTGGGTCTTCAGATCGGAGGAGCCAAGTCTCGCTCCCATAGAGCAAGACGGCCCACAGTATGGCCTTGTAAACACGGCCTTTCAGACGGAGGAGAACCACTTTCAGTCGCCAAAGATGTCGCAGACGCAAAACGACAGTTCTGGCTTGTGAAATACGTGAACTGACTTCAATCGTTATGCGCCCATCGCTGCTGATGCAGCCGCCAAAGTAGGTGAAGTGATCTACTACATCGAGCTCCTGGCAATCAAGAGCCAAGGGTTAATCAAATGGCTGGTGATCCTGCACCAACACTACAGTTTTAAGGTGTACAGCGTATATCGAAGAATGGAATTACTCTAGAGAAGTTATTCAGGGTTGAGCCGCCGCAACATCGTTAAACAGTGGGACAAAATCGTGAGCATAATCAAGATCAGTTAGGCGTTCAGAAGGCAGGACCTTAACGCCTGTATCGTGAGGCAAGGGTACACTCAATGATGCAGTCCACGACGAAGTTGGACAAGATGGGGAAATAGGACAACCCTGACGAACGCCACCTGTTGTCGGAAAGGCTTCCGACCCTGAGACGCCCTGTAGTGTTCCAGTATAGGACAGGAAACATGTTCACATATTTCATGGGAACACCTTTCCGCGCAAGTATTTCGAACAGAACAGATCGATCGACCGAATCTAACTCACGCCTCAATTTTATGAACACAGCTATTGTCGATCTGCGATATGTGTTGCGCGAATCTAGCACTTGATGCAGAGTGAATGCATAGCATATACAGCCCCGTCCTGGGCAGAAACCTACCTGTTCTTCCCTAAACTGTGATTCACGCTCCGCAGTGGGGCGACATAGGAGAATTGAGGCTAGTATTAGGAGTTAAACTAATCGCCTGTGGTTAGCGCAGTCCGTGCGACTGCCGTTCTTGTATATCGCCACCACAATCGATTCACTCCAGTTAGCTGGGATAGCCTCTGTCCTTCAGACCTGTTGGAACAAGAAGGTCAGTGCTTTGCAGAAGGCGTCACCACCATCCTAAAGTAGTGCGGATGCCAGGGAATCCGGGCCAGAACCACGAAAACGATTACGGGCTACAATCGCGTTTTGGACGTCAGCCACCGACGGAGTCACTAAGCTAACTGGCCATGGTTAACCTTGCATCACCTGAGTAAGAAGAGGTACGAAGTAGGTATGGAAGTGTTCAGCCCAACGAACCATACGGTGCTCCTTATCGTGAATCAGAACACCGACGCTAGTTTCCTGGGACCAGTTGGAAGCGCTTGCGATAGTTGCCTCATGATATTGCTTCCTCCATTCCTTGAGCCTCGCTGGTCCACCTGGCTTCAAGTTCAAGTTCAACGGGACTGGAACGATAGGATGATCCCGTGAGTGTTCCTTCTTCGGCGGGTCGTTGAACCAGGAGTTGGCGGATTTTGAAATACTGATGGACCTAAAACAAAGACCGCATCACACCCTATCCAACCAAGTAATGCCCACGTATCCTGCCCTAGCAGTCCCTGCTGGGCCGGTTACGTGAAGTAAGAAAGAGAAAAAAGTAAACCCAGAAAGCAAAAGAGAAAGTGGAAAGAGCTAAACAAGTGGAATACCAAGATATTTGAGTCATTAAAAAAGAACTGAAAAATGAAGGTGATTCAGCTAGAAAAAAGGAAAAATTTGATGTTGCCATCCAAGAGCATCGAGCTGGCGCGCAAAACTCTTAACCGTAGATTCCCTAACCATGTGATCTGGAAGCGAATTCCAGCGATCTATAAGTCGGCGCGACAGACGAGTTTCCGTCCTAATCCTATCAGACCGTGGTTTATGCAGTTTCAGTGGGTAACCGCGGAGATTAGGTAACGTAGTGGGACTAAATAGCCCTGACAAGTCCGGGCCAATCTTACCCGTCAAAATACGATAAGTGAGAATCAGGTCCCCCTTATCCTTCGGTAGTGCATGGAGTACATACCCAAACTGAGCAAGCGTTCAGGATACGTCTCCCAGTAGACCCTGCACTAACCGAGTGCCCACTCGTAACACCCTCTTCAAGTCCATTTCGTCTCGGTTAAGACATGGTGGACAAGTCGGAATACCATATTCCAGGTGGGGTCGGACGAATGCCGAGAATAGATTCACAAACAAATTGGCCGTTAAGATTCCGAAAGAACGGCGGATAACCCACATCATACGAGATACCCGACAAGCAGCCTTCTTCCAGTTGTCTCCAGAATGAAGTGCTGATGCGTGTACGACTCCTAAATCGACCTGCTGAGTGACAATAAGGAGTTCAACACCGCCGACAACATATCGGGTGGAAGGATTAGCAGCACCGATTCGGAGAACAGAGCACTTGACCCTATTTATGGGCATCAACCATAAGATAGACCATTCCCAGAGCCTATGCAAGGCCCGCTGAATTGCCTCAGGAGCCCCCGGGATATCCACAATATTCCAGAGCTTAAGGTCGTCAACGAACATTAATGATGACACCCCTAGCTCTCCTGGCAAGTCATTTACACAGATCGCGAACAACAATGGCCCCAATACCGAGCCCTGCGGAACGCCACTAATGACAGCTTGCCTGAGCGAAAGGCTACGCCCCACCAGTACGCACTTTTCCCTCCCCTCAAGGTAGGCAGACACCCATTGAAGGGCGCGACCAGATATCCCGTAAGATCTCAACTTTAGTGAGAGCCGAAGATGTGGAACAGTGTCAAAATCTTTCGAAAAATCTGCAAATAGCACGTCTACAGCGTTGCCACTGTCGACCGCTTCGGCCCAGATTTCACGAGCTACAAGTAGATTAGTCTGACATGAAAATCCCTTGCGGAATCCATGTTGCGCATCACTGAGAAGGTTGAATCGATTCAGGTGGTTCACCACTGAATCCCTTATCAGCTTCTCGAACAACTTGACTACTACGCTTGTCAAACTGACAGGCCGGTAGTTTGCGGGTAGGTCGCTGTCACCGCCCTTAAAAATCGGACAGATAATTGCCTCCTTCCATTCCGAAGATAGGATGCAGCTGTCCAGCGATACGGAAAACTAGCATGTGAGAGGACCACTAAGCTCAGTGGCCAGTTCATGCAACAGCTCCGGATGAATTGAATTAGGACCGGAAAATTTAGAGGGATTAACGCTTTGCGGTAGCTCAAAAACCTGAGTCTCCGTTATGCTAAACTCAGCAAAGCAAGAATCCTCTGGAAATCTTGAAACCAATTCAATCTGTGGTAAAGAGGTCTCTAGAGCAAAGACCCCGTTGTACTAACTAAGTATGCAAGCCTTGTCAAAGTCAGTTCGCGCACGGGTCCCATCTGCTCGCAATAACGCTTGTACAGATAGTTTTGTCCCGCTGCGTCTTTTAACGTAAGCAAAAACTTCTTCGGATTAGCTGTGGCCGAGACCGCTAAACCCTGCTCGTACTGGAGACGAATAGTTCTGAGATGTTTCTTACATTTAGTTCTAATTTCTGGATAACTATCATAGATACTGGCTGATGGAGCTGCTTGGTAGTTTCGCCAGCATCTAGACCGTTCCTTGAGTAGGTACTTGCCCGTGGTATCTGTCCGGGTGAAAGTAAGAATTGCCTTGGAAATCCACTATTTTAGCGAATAATCGATCACTAACGATTATCGCATCGATTTCGAACGCTCCGGAATGTTCTACTTCTGCACGTGATTAAAAACCACGAGAGTGGCTAATTTTTGACATGAAAAATCGGTCTGGAGGGACATTGTGTTCCCGTACACCAGGCTAAATCGTGATCCTTTCATAACTGGATTTGAAAGAGATGTGTATGGGTCGCTTTGGGCCTAAGTATGTACAAAAAATAGTAGTTGGTAAGATATATTATTTGTAAATTTTGCTTTCATTCATCGCGATTTTAAAAAATAGAAAAAATACGATAATCGGACAAGAGATATGTATGTGTATAGGCCGGGGTCTGTCATTTAGGCAGTCTGTCCTCAGCGGCGTGCCGCAGGGCTCGGTCCTTGGACCGCTGTTGTTCTCTATCTATGTGAATAATCTACCCACGGAGCTTGAGGTACCATCGCTGCTATTTGCTGATGACCTGAAGCTGTGGAACATTGTTGATGTTCCTGGGGGTTCCGAAGCTATTCAGCGAGCATTGGATAAGCTTTGGGACTGGTCTACTTTATGGTTACTGCCCAAAAATCAGGAAAAGTGCTCCGTTCTTCGAATTGGAGGAGGTTGTCCTCCTGC